TTTGAATCAGTATTTTTATTCCATCAACCTTCTTATGTAGGCTTCCGAAGTGTGCCAGCCATAATAACACTTTCTGCGAAATGGGTGTCTAGTTATTGACTTCGGCTGATCAGTTTTAAAAATACTGGGATCCTTTAGGTACGACAACGACAAAACCCGTTGAATAGTCGTACAGGTAGATGCCATTTGGCATTAGTAGAAAGTTAAAAGGGAGCGAAAAATGCTCGCTTTCTTAGCGTGTTTTGCTTGGCGAAGTCTCGAAGCTTTTTAGGGTCTAGTTGTATCTTAGGCGAATAGTCTTCTTCTAGCCATACTCTTGGTGACGCTATGTTTTTTAGCTTAAATACATTGCGCAGAGCATCAGTTCTTGATTTGTAATTTTGAAACCTAATTATAAGGGGGTGGTGGAAACCACTTCGGCGTTGACCAATCCTGTGGGCGCGTTCACTGTCGCCGAGGGTCAGATTACGGTGAGCGCAGAATTCCTTCACAATGATCTGAGTCTTTTCATAGCTTTTATTATTTGATTCAGGAAATCCCTCAACAAGCAAGTTGTTTCTGCGCATTCCGTTGTTCATATCTTCTACAACATCTCCTAGTTCTTCATTAGCTCTGGCTATGCTCGGCTTGACTTCATTTATGAGTTGCTCATACCCTCACAGTTGAATTTGATTTGAGCAATACCGTCCTACGTGCTCCCAATGACTGTTACCCGAGTTTTAATGCCTACTACGTCATGTTGAATGTTTCTTTGCAATAGTTCTATGGTGTCAGTGGGGCATGCGTTAACTAAGGAGAGATCATCATTATTCTTGGGACCGGAATAAGCCTCCACATCTCCGACACAAAGGAAAAGCAAAGCGAGAGATATAGACAATAACAGGCGGGGTCTCGGGCATAAGAGGCAGATGAGGTTTGCTTCGCAGCTGAAGTGACTAGCACAAGCACTTACTCGCTGACAATGGGCCAGGAATGAACTAATCCGCGAGCGATACGTGGTAACTTCAGCACCCATCGCGCATCAAGGATTAAGACACTACAAACAATGTAGGCAGGAGATTAGCGGCGAAAAAAGAAAACCAAGAGTATCAGGCAAGAAAGATTTGAATGCCTACCAATCAGAAAAACAATTGACGGCTCAGTCACTTTGCTTGCTGGCCGTGAAATCCCTATTTCTTGTTGCTTGGCGGTCCATTTTGAATACTTTGGTGGCGCTTTCGGCGTCGTGACCTCGAAAGCCAGTCGCCGCAGAAAATCCTTGCAGCATGACAGATACGCTGATAGCTTGAGGCCACCCTGAGTCAACCGAGATCAGCGGATACAAGGCAGCAGCAACCACGCAATGCTATAAGCAGAAAAACAATTGGCGACTCAGTCACTTTGCTTGCTGGCCGCGAAATCCCTATTTCTTGTTGCTTGGTGGTTCATTTTGAATTCTGGGGTGGTGCTTCCGTCGTCGTGACATCGAAGGCCATTCGCCGCCGAGGATTCTTGCAACTCTATAGATACATCGATAGCTAGGCCACTAAGATTGTGCGTTACGTAGATGATTATCTGGTCTTTCTAAGCAGTCGCAATGTCATCGGCAGAGTAGTGAATGTCTTGAGGCTGTTTGAAGAACAAGTTCTAAGATTGAAGCTCCCTTTTGAGTTCCCACAAGATGTGATTCAGTACCTTGATCTGCAAATTTCTTTCCAGGATTCGCATATCTGCTGGGTGTATCTTCCCCGTTCCATTAAAAGTCTGCCTAATTTCAGTTCTTCACAATCTACACTTGTAAAAAACGGCATTGCTTTGTCTTGTATACATTCCGCTGTCAGTAGGTCATGTGAGCAGCTCATGGAACGAAGTGTTCAGAAACAGGTAGATAAGGTACCAAGCGCCGAGTATCCAAATGCAGTGATTGCTTCAGCGCCTCAGAAGGCTCTTGAGATTGCCATGGCAAGGTGCATAAGAAAAAAAAAAGAATTTATCACTCAAAAAAAACGGTGTTTTGTAATTATTCCGTAGTTTCACAAATTTTCGCATCGCTTGAAAAAAGTGGCTGCTTGACAAGAAGTTGACGTTGTTTTTTCTGCAAACAACAAATTAAGCGGTATTTGTCCTGCCTTACAGAGGCGCCCTGGATCTGAGGATCTTGGTAAAAGCAATGAATTAAATGTAAAACATGCCTTGCAGTTTGTCCCTGTAAACAGGGAGCTGTGTATTGCACTCCCTCCACGGGTGGGTGGTGCTGTGTTGGTCAGTCGATACGTTGCCCGAATGTTAGACTGACAGAGCATCATATTCCTCTTAGCCTACTCGCCACATGCGATGCATTGCCGCGACTGCGAATGTGAACCGCTTTTCTGTAACTATCCTGTAATTTTTAAACACGACAATAAATCAACAAGAGCAATTGTCGAAGCCTTTATGATTAAAGTGAAAGACGATGCGTGTGGAAGCCAGCCTACAATGAGCTTGCTAGATAATGAAGTTAGTCTACTGCACAAGTCTGGTGTCTTATATTAGTGATTTTGTGTGTGGGTATGTAAAAAGGGGGGTATGTAAAAAGGGTTATGTAAAAAGCAGTAGGCACACGTGTCCACGCAGAGTGCCGTCCAAAAGGGGTGTAGTTTTTTCTTTCTTTTTTGGTCTAAATATCAGTTTCAAGTTAGCGCTCGTCCTCTGTGCTCTTTTCTTCGGTCCTTGTTTTTCGCGCTTTGAAGGTTCTTCCTTAATGTCGTGCAAACTCGCCCAAGCTTCCATCCTTATACGATAGCTTATAGCCACGCTGAGTCAGCCAAAATCGACGGAATCCAGGCAGCAGCAACCAGGTAGTGCTATAACCAGAAAGCTTTCGGCGATTCAGTCACTTTGCTTGCTGGCCGCGGAATCATGTTTTGAAAGCTGTCATGGTAGGCCGCGAGAGTTACCCACACACAATCTTTTGGTAAACATTCATAATTGAAATCAATTCAAATTCACCATCACAGATTACAATCCCTCATAAAAAAGCAGACTCCATATTAGTAGTACACCAATTTCACCTCCACGGTATAACTTATACCACCAAACAACAATGCCGCCACTCACGCGAACAAACTACGGACGCCATGACCTTCATTATCAAATAAGTGGCTTTAAAACATTGTAAGGAATGACTATAAATAAACTTCTACGCACCCCGTTTCAAACTTACATTCTCTTACATTATACAATATCTTATCAATGAAATTTTTACATGCCGAATAAACAGGTCTGTTTCACTGTTTTATTACTACACTTTCAGTCTTCATTATTTATGCATTGGGGTACATATTCTGGAACTGTTTAAATGATGTCTCTTTTTCATGAAGTGTTTTGCATGACATTATTTGTTTCATGAAGTATTATCACAATACTTTCGTTTTACATAAAGTGTTTTATTACATGCTTTCTTGAAGTGCTTGTAAATTTCTTTGTTGCCTGAAGGTATTTTGTGTGATGTAAAACTGTACTATCTTTGCTTGCATTTAGTTATGTACCTGCTGATGCCTTAGTGTTTTATATGCATGAAAACTATTTGTATGCATGCTAAATCTCCAAAGGAGTATGCGCGTGAGGCCATATGACCTTTGGCTTTTGCTCCTCTTTTTGTAAAACGAAATAAATGATAAACAAAAGAAAGAAAGAAATGCCAAATGGAGCCATTAAGACGCCTGCAAATATACACAAGTGGATGACGACCAATTCTGCTAAAGATATTCCAGAAAAAAAAGGCAGTAACGTTTCATCCGCGTTGAAAACAATTTTAACTAAGCCCCAATAAATTAAACATACTGAAATAGAAATACTGCCGTCTTTTTAATCACTTGACATATATTTATCTGAAACTATATCATGGCATTGCCAAGTGAATTACTTAGTAATTTACCTAGAGCAATAGGTACTATGCGCAACTATTGCAGTTACTTTTCTACATCAATTACCAAGATTTTTTAAAATTCAATAATAAATTATTGCGTTCTATGTGAAATTGCAGGCTGGGGAACTAATACAGCGTTGATTATTCACCGACTCGTGGTACTACAAAAAAGAGCCATGTTCCTTGTTTCCAACGAGCTATATCTTTGGCATACTGCTCCTTTGTTGAAAAAGCCTAGTATCATAAAAATGATATTTTTACAGATACAAGCTTTCTCGCATCTATGGACTAGGAAAACTTAGGAATGATGACTATAATGCATATGGCACCCTTACAGAAACAAATTTATTTTTATAAATTTGCTCATTTAAAACTTTGGATTGTCAACAAAAACGAAACTCTTTATGGTGACCCAATGCTACAGTTTTTTTATCGACTAATATTAATCAGTACACAAAGAAAATGGTCCCGATGTATCCACTCCATCACTAAAAAACCTACGTGACATGTTTGCATGATGGCTCGCACTGCCATAGGAAAATATGTTGTATTTTGTTTTGTTTTTTTGCAGTCTTCTGCCCTGCGTAACTTTTTTCAATTGTTTGTAGAATACCTTTGTTCATTATTTTTTACCGTTTTCGTTTACTGGATTTGCTGTTCTGCTCATCCATTAGTTATAGGGCATGCTTTCAACCGCTGTAACCGCTCAGTGTGTGAAGCGGTCAGGTTTCCCTGAAGCTGCTTAGTGCAGCTTTTTCGCCTGGTCTCCTCACAATATTCTTGCGCAGCAAACTTAATTCAAACTAACGTGGTTGCTTGGGCGAGTTGGTACGACATGATTCACATAAAAAACAGCGCCAATAACGAGAGACAAGAGAAAGAAGGAGACAGACAGCGGCACTGATATTATTGCCGCTGTCTGTCTGTCTGTCTGTCTGTCTGTCTGTCTGTCTCCTTCTTTTTCTTGTCTCTCGTTATTGGTGCTGTTTTTTATGTGAATTAATTCAAACCCCATTGAATTCAAGAAAAAGATATTTTCGGCAAGAAAAATGTTCCATTCAAAAACGTTGTAACGGCAAAGTGATAAAAGACTTATCACTTTTGTACATTCTAGGTTTTCACTTCAAGAAATGAAGCCGTCAAACTCAAGAAAAGATAATTCCGAAAGTACTACTTGCGATCCTGGGTTCTATACGAGGAACAACGGTGACCAGCGTCTTTTGAACCTCAAGGCTTTGGACATGGTAGAGAAAGATTTCAACCACCGCAAGTACGACAGGGCATTACAGTTTCTGGACCTTGGCTGTGGTACGGGAGACTTCACTTGCCAGGGGCTTCTACCGCGATGCGCACCTTGCGCAAGAATCGTCGCAGTGGATTCGTCGGAGGACATGCTGTCGTACGCTCGACAAATGTTCAGCCATCCTCGCATCGAGTACGACCGTTTGGACGTTAGTGGCGAAATCCAGGAGTTTCTCGCAAAATACGGTTCCTTCGATCGTATTTACTCATTCTTCTGTCTGAATTGGGTCCGAGACCAGGAACAAGCAATGAGGAACGTGTCCAGCCTCTTATCACAAGGTGGGGAGTGTCTTCTGGTCTTCCCTGCATGGTCCCGTTCGAGGGTGCCTTGGAGTATGCTAGCACATCTGGATCACTGGCGCACCTACAAAGAAGTGAGCTTTCTACTATAAACTCAGCCTCCTACAAATCAGTGCCTTTATCTTTTAAGCTTTATTGAAAGGCTTCGTCGTATCTCTATATTAGCCCCGAAAACGAACACTGGCGTCACTGCGGTCATGGCAATGGGACGTCATGGCACGGACTCGCCTGCTCCGCCGGTGTTTGTCACCTTTTTCTGTGCTCACCACGCGCACGCCCTTTAGCGACACATTGGTGATTATTCCTTAATTTCTTGACGCGAATTTCTCAGCATACAAGGTGTTACAACGAGTGAAAGCTTTACAGCTGTAAAAAGCTTCCATAATTTAGCTTAGGATAGGCAAACTCCCGTCCAAACTAAAGATTTATTGTGAACTTTGTGATGGAGAAGATGTTCGTTGTTTTTATCGCGTACACCACAGAATGGGCACTAAGAAAATATGCTATGTTGTAGTAAAGTTATTACAACTAACCAAAGGCTCCGGAATTAGAACATATCTTTGCCGAAGCATAGGAAATAAAGTTGGCACGTTTTCAAATCACTTATTGCATTGGGCTTTACCGTGCCAGTTGCGCCTGTATCCAAGAATGATCTAAACGATTGGACAGAATAGCACTGTCTCAAGCAGGAGACATTGCATGAATATGGCTGACATAAGCACTCACGTAATATATTCGTAAACAAAATCAACCAAATAATACTGGCACACGCACAATGATTTCCGAAATTATCTGGCATTTCCGTTCACTGGGATCATAGTACAGGTTTCTTCTTAATAGTCACCCAGGAATATGTAGTCCTATGCCCTGGTGCGTGAAATGCTGGAGCATTTTGCCGCCGCGTCACAAACGCCAACGGGAGCTTCACATGGGAGCATGGCTGATAGCAACAATTTCAATGCAAACGCCAGGAAGTCTAAATGTACTCTTTCTATGCCGCACTCACTCACGTGGCCCAATAGTGGAGTAAGCAGGGAATGGCTCACCGGGCCTTTACCCTACCCTCCAAGATTTTTCCCCGTGCAGACAAAAAATGACCATTTCATATAGGTGTCCTCCTCCAACCCTGAAAAATATTTTACCTTATAGGCTTTTGGGCCCATGCAATAAACAAACAATGAACAACGTGTTGGGAGAGCAAGTACATGAGAAAAAAATTGCCCGCAGCTTCCCTCGGGGGAACACTGAGGAGGATGCGGAGCATATAATTGGTTAACGGGGTGTTAAAGTGCGACTTACTTGGGTCGATGGCTAAAATGGTTAACGTGGTTGTGAAATGGGGTGTTAAATTGCGACTTACTTGGGTCGATGGCTAAATTGGTTAACGTGGTTGTAGGAGGGGGTGTTAAATGAGTGAACACGTACACACGTATGCGAAAGGGCGGCGCTGGTCGAAGGGACGTCGATCATTGTGTTTGTGGATTCGTTGGAATTCATTTCACCGCGACCTTGGACGTCGACGCGCCGTACAAACCAACCGACGAGCGGCAACTGAGCGAGCGAGCGCCGACCTTGAGTATATATACAGTGCGACGGCGCATGCACTGTCAGCTGTTGAATGTTCTCGAAGCGCGACGGTGCATGCGCGTCCACTGGAGAATCAGGAGAATTGTAGATGTCGAACGCGGTGTGTAGAGGAGGAAGGGTGCACAGATGGTGGAGGAGTGAAGCGCGCGCGGTGTGTAGAGGAGGAAGGGATGCACAGATGGTGGAAGAAGGAGGAGACGGCGCGACGGCGCATGCGCGCGCGTCAGCTGTCGAATGTTCGAGAAGCGGTGCGGACGGCGCGGACGGCGCACTACAAGGCGCGAGTATAAGATGCTTCCGCATCTAAAACGCACAACAGTGGCGGCGCGATTCCAGAGAGAGTGCCTTGCGGTATATGTTGCGATACTCTATGCTTCACGCGATCGCGAGGCTTGATTTACGTGTGAGAGTGCTGTCCGTAGATACTTGTATTCCTACGGTACAAATTATTCTATTGGAGATGAAGCCCTGATATCTACGAAAAGAATCATCTATGCACAGCTCAACCTTGTAAATTGTAAATGTCGTGTCTTAATTCCTTCACAAAATCTCATGAATATGCGTCAATGATTTTGTTGTATTCAAACAGAAGCGTGCTCGTGAATTTAACACCTGACGAAATATGGCTGCGTCGCCACGAATGGAATTCATCATCGGGATTCGCAGCGCAGCACAGACCTTTTCGCTCGTCTCACATTGCTATACAACCCAGCGCGGGATTGCACAGCAGCAAAAGTAAACTTTTTTATTGTTTTACCTGGAACATTACCAAATCTGTTTTATTCATTCAAATGCAGCTTGAAACAAGCAAAAAGCGACCGCAAAAATTGAAACAGTGCATGAAACGAGCGCATCGATATGTAGGCGCGCTGCGGCTCGCATCGAAGATTCCGTGCCGTGACATCATCCGCCAGGCGGCGCCACTCCAACTTCTCGATAGAGTTGCTGTATATGCTACATTTAGGTAGCATATACAGAAACTCTACTTCTCGAGGCTAATACCGATTCTCATCATAGAACAACCAAGCGCAAACATCGACCGAGTGCTTGTTTCTTTGGTGCAAAAAACAAAATATTTGATACGTCGATTTTACAAATTATAAACAAATAGAAAAACATTGAAACAAACCATTTTGTAGAAGACGTGACGTTTATGTAATATACGGGAGATTCACAGAAGGTTAGTATTACATCATCAATGGAAAGCAAATGAAATCGATAAAAACTCAAATTACTTCAAGTGCGGACCGATTCTATGGCCTTACAATGAAGTTCAGAAAAACAAAGTAATGCCCGCTATACCTTCCTGAGCTTTGATGTCTGTTGATCTCATTCGATTATTATAATGTCTCCCAAATTGAACGCCGTTTCTAATAAACAAATGTCAACACGTGAAAATAAGCAGCTCGTGAGGAAATAGAGAAAGAGAAAGCCGCATTGCACGAGCTTCAACACCCTTTTGATTTGCGAAATTATGATGCAACCTATAACAGAATAGTCTTCGTGAAAACGATGAACCACATATATATCTCTTACATAGAGGTTTTTTGATTAATCAGGAGAAAGCGCTGTACTGATCAAAGCGAGGTCGCGTTGCCTTAGAACGCATAGTCATAAAACGAAATTCAATAAAGAGGATGAACAATGTACATGCTGTGGGGAGATAAGAAAATGGTGGAACAAGTTCTGATTGAGTACAGCGATATCCAACCAGCTATACGTGTGGGTACAAGCTTACATGTGGCTTTGGGTTTCAGGGACAAACATGGCAAGCTGAACACGTCCACGATAGAAGCAAATAAGAGATGGTTAAAGTATTGCGGGCAGAGAAGTAGAGGTAAAGGACACAAATAGTGGGGAAATGAGGTCATTATGCCTGAAGAGGCAGAGATGAAAGACAAATATATATATATATATTATATATATATATATATATATATATATATCTATATATAATATATATATATATAATATATATATATATATATATATATTATATAATTATATATTACTTGTTCCAATAACATTGATTTATTTGAAGTAAATAAGGCATTAGGCAGCAATCAAAAGAAAAAAGAACATTTTGTTTTGTCTTGCGAGCCTAGGTGGCTCATATTTACCCCCCCCCCCTTTCGTTATGAAGGAAACGCTAATATACAGCATCAATCGGTCCATCGTTAGGGAGCCTTCTCGTGCGCACCGGAGGGTATGCGGTGCGCACATGAACGCTCCATCCAGCACGCACAGGAAGAATGACTACAAGGCGTCACAGCTCTGAGCGCTCGCCTCCTCACAAATTTCTCCACTTTGTTCTCATCTCTTCGTAGGTATATCAGCACGTGGCAAGTTCCTATGACGAGTGTTATGCCAGGTAGCAATATCCTCCCAAGCCCGCTGACCTGAATGCTCTCAACTCGGTTAGAGAACACCTTATAGATGCACGTCTGTCAATAAAGAGCAATAGGTTTTTGTCTCACGGAACGCCCAGTAGGGAATAAAAGGCAGGCGGTGAACGTGCCCATCGACGTAGCTAACACTGTGCCGGCCTTGGAACGTGCGCGACAACACTGACTTCGTCGTACTGTACACATGACGCACCAGCTCGTTGACAAACCTTCCTACAGAATTCCTCTTGTCAAGAAACGCCTGGTGCACATCCGAGCAAGCTACTCTAACATGATTCACTTTGGGCATATGGCGCTGATTTTTTTTCACCTTTAATTCATCAGTGACCACATCTACATCGTCATAATCAAACCGACCAGACAAACTTTGTCGAACTCTAGACTGCAATGCTAGCAGACTACGAAGCATTGCGCCTGCACGTGGCGGCACTGCGTCGCAAGAAGTGCATCTGGTACAAACCCCGTTTTCTCTTTACATCAGTGATAGGACAATTGATAGGCCAGTATAAACAGGTTGACTGCGCCACAGGGGATGTGCACGGGCTTTGTTTATCTTGGGACGCTGTATACATAGAACGAAAAAGTTGGGTGCAGCAATCTAAGTTTGATAGAACGCGAAGCTAGTTGCAGCACTGACGCCTTTTCACAATTAGGTACGCTTAGAAGGGAGTGCGGGTGCGTTTCTTAATGTTAAAAAGCTGTGATCATAGTCATCAGTAATGAGAAAAAACGAAATACAATAGATGCTTTGAACATTTTTAACACTAACCCATATATCAGTGTTTCATGTATCGCCCAGCAACAAAAAGAAGTATCTTATTTGAACAGAAAAGCATGACAAAACAGTGCGTGCTGTACCTCCAGCCTTTTGTGACCATGTGCAACGCTCGTACTCGTGTTCTCGTCGTTTTCTGTCCCGCGTTTTTTTGCGATATTCTTTGCTATGAACCCAGACCAACTCACCCACCTGTCAGTGCTACTTAATGGTATTCTTTTCGTTTTTTACCGTCAAACCGAAGGCGCTGGCAGCTCCGAAGGGAGCGATTGCAGGGCTTCCAGTGCCTGATCAAGGGGCAACATTACATCTCTCTTCTGAACTCTCCTTGCCACGTGCGACTACATCTGCTTGGCTGTTCTTAGCAGCATCTTTCTCACTAAAGTCAACGGGTCGATCGCGACCCATATATCACGTCCTTAGGTTTATGACGAAGTATGCGTGTAAGGGACAAAGAGCATCACGTGTCCCACAAAGAGTTTCCTCAATATAGTTGCTACAGATGAAAATGGCATTGTAACGTTTCTAGTGTTGTTCGCGTCTGCATACTATTATTGTCACTTCACCTGCACCTTATGCAGAATAAATTCATAAACTAGCATATTCACCACAATCGTATGCTAGAATATTAGAACTTTTATTGTTCTACAAATTTGGCAAACCGTAAAAACTGATTGTGGTAGTAGGTACTTTTTATTTTATTTAGGCTGTTTTTTCACAGGGCTGTGAACTACTCAAGCCGTTGAAACTCCGCTTTTCTTCGCAGTGCTTCCTTTGTTTACGAAAGAATGAAAACCATTCGAGAGAAATAAATTTATTGGGATTACTAAAACAGCTTACCAACTTTTAGTTTATATACAGACCTGTGATATCAAAACATATCACGCATAATCAAACAAAAATGTCACCGTTTCCCACTAAAAAAAACATCTGTGGAAGTGAAGCAGTGGGCTCCCACACTTGTATACAGCGACGGTGGCGTCGCCGCTGGTGCTCTTCGCAGCGTAGCGCAGGAGAGCAAGCCGGGTAGGCACAAAGCACGTAGTGATTGATTATTTTATCCAACTAGAACTTGCCAATTGCTGCAAATGACCTAAGAACGACAGAATACTCCGATAGAACACAGACACCCACAGTGCACTTTTTCGTTAGCATGCATGCTGCGAATTTGCCTTGTTCAACAACACTCCCCAGCAATCTCCTAACGGCACTACCTTAGATGTCAAGTTCCCGTCCATATATACATGGGGTGGCCGATGAGCGGTTGTGCAGTGCGACGTTTGGGCTTTTTCAATGCAGAAACTTGCTAGCAGACACTGCGTGCGTCGGCGATGCGAGGCGAGGGAGGGTAGGAGCGGAGACGGGAAAAGGGCGGGCCTGCGCATGAAGGGTGGTCACTCTGCCCACCAGGTTGAGCTGGACCATAAAAGGCTTTGCTTCTAATTACGCGATTTCCCACTAAAAGGAACCATAGGCAGCATGCGAATCAGCGCATTGGTCGACCTCAAGATACGTTCATCACGGGCACCTTACCCACTCCGTGAATTCACTGTAGGCTTTGTTGCTGTTACTCGTCCGGAACTCTTGTTGGAACACTACTCATGCATTCTTCGCCAAGCAACGCAAAGACACGGGGGTTTATCTCGTAGCTGCAGCATCTAGTTCCCGTAGCCATTACGTGATTCCTGTGAGGCTGTACGGAGTGAAAGGCCACCGCATCTTACAAAGAGCTCCAGCCCGTTCAGATTACAACCAAGGAGCCATTAGGGTGTAACGCGTTGGCTCATCGCGCGTCTGCAGAATCTTGTTCCTAGACGCCTTCATATTAATGCTGAGAGAGTGTAAAGGGCAGAAGCAAAAGTGTCTTAGCCAAAGTGTCGCAGGCCGGAACGCGCCATCGCGTGAGAGCGTTCTGACAGTGCTCGGGCCAGTTGCGCATGCCCAGTAAGGGTATATGCAACAAACCACCCGATTGAACTCAGGCATAAGCTGATTCGCATAAAAAACACTTCGAATCCACACATTTTAACCACCTTATAGAAAGCCTAATAACGCTTAACCCGGAAGTCACGAAAGCACGTGGCAATCGAGTGATAAGTTAACGGACAACGACAAGTTTCACCAAGAATAGTCGTGTCAGAATTTCACTTTTGAAGACGAAGGAAAGGCAAAACAAAGTATTAAAACATGGTCACAAGAAGAAAAGTAGTGTCACTGCTGTTTGGTCACTGATAGCTATCATAACAATTATTTTCGGCAACGTCGTTTTGTGCAGCTCTTCGAAAGTTTTGTACCTAAAAGCCAGGACATCGAAGATGACGGTGAACGGTTGTCGTATATACAAGAAATCATCAAATCCGCCAACCTGGAGCTTCACAGGTTCGAAAGCTTCCTTTACAAACCATTCGCGTGGAACGCTGAAGCGGCTATAGGTGAGTACAACATTGAGCATTTCATTTACCTTAACACAGATCAATAGAAAACTAGCCATACAATTTTTCCAAATATGACTTGTGCTTTGCTTCCGATAACCAGCAGACATCTCTCACGTAGGTTATGTTTTACAGCGAAACATATATATGGCACGGAGAAACAAAAACTGTTCGGCATTGGTGTCATGAGCGGTCTCCATAAGCTGCTCGATCAGTCACGTTCTCAGCGTCACCCCGAAGCACGCACGTCTTTGGCTGCGTTGTGAGTGACGCCGTTCATGCTGTCGCAGCCGCGGCGTCCAGCGCACGCGCATCAATTTTTACTAGAGTTTCCAAATGTATAAGGAAATACACACTAGATGAGCGTTGACAGTGGACACGTGAGAGAGCTTGCATTCGCCGGGTCGATGTTGCCATCTAGGCACAAAAGCAGGGCTGGGAGGCTGAGTGCCGGCAGCAACTGTTTACCGATGCAGCCTTCCAAGCTTTCCAAGCCACGATAAATCGCGGACGGGAATGCAAGAGCTGGTGGCCGGCGGATCTCGCAAACCATTCAGCCGATGAATAAACTATTTTATTATTCAAATTCAAAGAAAACGGAAATGGTCTCTACTTCAGAAGACACATTGAAAACGACAATAATGTTTTGACGTGTCAATTACCTTCATCGTCTTTTCGCGTCACGTAATACCAAATTTGGTATATTTGAAGATAGCGGACTTCCCTTAAGCACTTCATGAGTATCGTATGTAGTCATCTGCTTACATGACCAGCATGCCATGATTATCATGTTTGCACCAGTCACATACCTTTGTCACCCATTCACGTGACGTAATTCTAAATTTGGTACAGGTGGTGCTTGCGAAACGACCGCGAGCGCACCATGAGCGTGGCGTGTAGTCATGACCTACATTGCATGCATTTCATGATTTCCAAGTTAAGGCATTATGTTCACCATGCAGTCATATCCTACTATAGCAGTTTTGCGATATGTCACGTGAATGAAACCACCGCAAGAGCAGCAAGATCATGCATGTAAATCACATGTCAAGATTTTTCTGTTATGATGGGTCAAGTACACTCGTCATACATCCATGTTACGCTGTACTGATGTGGGTATCAATCACATTAACAAAATAGCACGGAGACCTAAATGTCGTATGCGGCTAAATAGTCAGATACGGTCAAAGTCGCTGAACATCACTACGAAATGCTTCGTAATAAATAAATAATAAATTGTTCGTCGGTCAGCGGGGCTGGAATACCTTAGAAGAGAGGTTTGAGCCTCGCTAGGTTCTTTAGTGCATCTACCACATCAAAGAGGTTCAAGAGTGTGCCTTGCTATATATATATCTACTGGCTTGTGTGTAAGTAAACTGATAATGAGAATTGACAGCACATTTTCTGTCTCAAGTGATTGAGATATGCAAAAATTGAGATTTACCAAACTAAAAGTCACGAGAATCATAGGACACGTTTGCATAAGTAATTGTAATGTCAATTAGAAGAGTGGGAGAAAAGATAACTTGTCATTAGAAGAAGAATAAATGAAAAGATAACTTGCCGTGGGCAGGGACTGAACCTGCGGCCTTCGAATAACGTGTCGGATCCTCTAACAATTCAGCTACCGCGGTGGCTATTCCCTCCTCCACTTTGTGGGTTATATATGTGCATTAGGCGTGGGAGCATCCATAAGCACCGCCAGTAGCTATAACGGTGTTTGCGGAACACTCTAATGTGCCTGTTTCGCGAACTTATCACGAGCTGTTAGCTTTAAAATAATAGCTCGTATCCTACTTGGAGGCACCAAGCCACACCAAACGACACGCTTGCTGTAAATTAAGGAACTAAATGTACATGCAATGTACATTTCTTACTGTTCATATTTAGCGGAAGTACATGTGCCATAAAATGGATGGGGGAGTAGCCTCCGGGGTAGTTCAGTTGGTGAGACATCGAACGCGTTATTCGAAGGCCGCAGGTTCGGTCCCTAATCAAGGCAAATTACGTTTTTGTTGGCTTTCATTTCATCACATTTCCAATACAATTATTTTTAATAGCAGCTCCCGTACTTTCCAAGGCATGATTGACTTTGAGGTCTCTATATTATTTTGTCCAACAAAAAAAAAGCAAGCTCCTGAATGTGCACATCTTTCCTCCATTTGTAGTGAGGTACGTAAAGTTGGAGATTGTCGAAGTTGGGGCCTGCAATGTCAGAAATACGTGCGCTGTATCCAGCAAATTTCCGCCATGCCTGCGCAACACCTGTTAGTAACAGCGTTCCCTCTTTGGAAATTGACTTACCAAACGAACATTCGAGCCTGCAGAGAACACTTGAGGTAATGCAAATAAAACTATACTTGAATTTATGGACATAACCACTTCTTCTAATAACACTAAATTTAAATTGACTGTGTTTGCTTCTTACACCCTAGATCGCACGAAGCTGTAAAGAGGGCACCATAATGATTAACAGTTCACACGTACATGCGCTAAAATGTCCCTGAAGTTTTTATAGTAGTAACAAATGATCCCTGGTTATTCGGGAAGCGCCTGATGATCCCTGGCTATTCGAAAAACCACTTTATACGGCTCTCTTCGCTTGATAATGCTTGCAGAGAATAATATTTGGGCTTGGGAGTTCATTTGAACATTGCTTCCGGCTAATTTGGTTATTATTTAAAGTGTCTTTTAGCTAGTGCTGATTTTCTAGTTTAGACGCTTATCGGTAGGCCCTTTTTAACGCGTCGTGTTTCTTTCAACAAAGGCCGCCTGTAGTTTCCTTATGCGCTGGGTGTAGTTGTTTTTTCTAGAGATCCTTCTTACACTGCGTCGGCATGTTCACCTAAGTTCTCTAGCTTATAGTGTCATGGGGAGATTCCGCCAGGGAGTGCAGAACAATGCGGACGTCAGAACAATGACTCTTGCTTTTCTCAGTGGTTTTTGTTGTAATTGCTATAGATGGACCCCGGAAGCCTACACAAATTTTGAACCAGCAATTTGAAAGGTACTCGCTGATATTGTACCTTTGTCGCGAGTGGACTCTCGGCAATTTCTCAGATATTTGTTCATCACCAGCGTGTAAGAGCTAAGCCAAGCAATCTAAGCCAACTTTCAGTAGAAAGGCGCGGGGAAGTTTAGGCCAAACACCATGCCAGTGACTTTCTCACCCTTGCGTACACGTGTCAAGCAGCACAGCGCAAATATCACATCGGAAGGCTATACCTTAACCAGTGACAGTGAAGGAAATGAAAGACACCCCTGGAGAATTCCACAATAGAGACAGCTGTTTCACCGCTTTCAACATCCGAAGGTAGCAAGAAAATGTGGGACACCATTCTCAAGGCTGACAACGTCACAGCAAGGACGTGTCAGCTGCCTACCACTCTGCCAACAGTGGACCAACCAAGAACAATGTTGCAAATAAAGATGGGAGAAGGGGCGTGGACACGGACGCAACGACGGGCGCTCTGTCACTCTGTTTTGTTTTCTTCGATGCAGCAAGACGTACGTGTACAGCTCTCCACTTCATTTTCCATGCTTCTTTTTGGGGCCTAAACCCAACCGGTTGTCTGGCCCTGGCTTTTGAAAATGGACCAACTACAGATGTAGCGCGGTTTCTGCCTACTACCACATGCATAACCTTATCATATTTGTGCATTTATATACGTATTGGTTTAAATATATTTGTATAAACGTATCCGTATATGCTCACTATGTATGTACGTACATCCATTGATAACTAATAAATGCGAAGCGTTTCTTGGCGAACTACGGCAACTTCGAGCGTATCTATCTATCTATCTATCTATCTATCTATCTATCTATCTATCTATCTATCTATCTATCTATCTATCTATCTATCTATCTATCTATCTATCTATCTATCTATCTATCTATCTATCTATCTATCTATCTATCTATCTATCTATCTATCTATCTATCTATCTATCTATCTATTATCTATCTATCTATCTATCTATCTATCTATCTATCTATCTATCTATCTATCTATCTATCTATCTATCTATCTATCTATCTATCTATCTATCTATCTATCTATCTATCTATCTATCTATCTATCTATCTATCTATCTATCTATCTATCTATCTATCTATCTATCGATCTATCTGCCCCCGCCATATAGCTCTCCTGGCTGTTTCGATAATGGTATTGATACCAAACTTGGTATGTCATAACACGACTGTAAGAAGAACATATTTAACTACTCATGACATGGAAATCAATACATGTATGTCATGAATATAATGATTCCAATTTCATGGTCCTGCAGCTCTTGCGGTGGTTTTGTTCTCATGGCATGTTGAAAAACAGGTATGGTATGACATGATTGCATGGCGAACACAAGTGACAGACCCTAACATAAAAATTATGAGATGCATGTCATATAACAACATGACTATATGCGACGCTCATGATGCGCTCGCAGCTGTTTCACTAGCGTCACTGATACCAAATTCGATATTATGGTACGCGAATGGTTGTCGAAGGTATGCGACTAATGCAAACATAATAATCATTAGATACGTGTCATGTAACAATATGACTACATGCCACGCTCATGATACGCTGGCGGCTGTTTCCCTAGCTTCACATGGGCCAAACTCGGTATTACGACACGCAAACGGATGACATAGGTAAATGACACAGCCAAACGTGATAATCAGAACATGCGTGTAATGTAACATGACTACATGTCACACTTATGAAGCGCTCGCGGCCATTTCGCTGACTTCAGATATGCCAAATTTGTTAACACCTGACGTCAATAGATGACGAAGGTATGTGACAGGTGCAAACATGATGATCATGAGATTCGTGTCATGTGAGAACACGGCTACATGCCACAGTGAAGGCGCCACTACATTCCGCTGTGACGCGGTGCGCGTGCTCACCGGCGTTAATTTTTTCTCGTCATGCCGGCGTTGCCACGCTGCAGGCACCGGTCCTGCTTTATACTCGCAGGTGCGTGCGGCGC